AGGGGTAGGGGTTAACTCACCATGAGCAGGGTCCAGGAGCGAACCTGCTGCATGTCACGGTGGAGACATAGCCAGGGCAGTAAGCTCTGCATGTTAGTGTGAAGCTGATGCCACATGTTGACGATGGTCTGGTGACTGCTCTCAAGCCTGAGGAATACCAAGAGAGACAGGCTCAGTGTTACTCAACACAATATCCAGAACCTTCCCTCAGGTCAAAACTCTTCCTTCAGAATATAACATCCTCACCCAGGAATCAGTCAAACGAAACCTCTCTAAACTGTGTCAAATACAGTTATATCATTCCTTAAACATGGAGACTAAAACTGTCCACAGTCTTGTGGATGTGCCCTCACTCTGTCCATCTGCAGGAACACACCCTGACCTTTCTATTCTATTCCCTCACAATAAACAACAACTGTCCAGTTGCTTTCTCATCACTTGCTGTATCCACAAACTAACTTTCTGTGATTTATGGACAGGACACCTAGATCCCTCTGCACCTCCACATCCAGCAAGCTCCCTCCACTGCGGAATAATGCTGATTTGTTTCCCTTCCTGTCAAAATCAGCAAATTCACTTCATTTTGTACAATCCACTTCCTGCTGACACAAGGACAAGGCAAGTGAGCCCGAGAATGAGTGTGAAACTGGGTGTAAGTGTGGTTCCGGTGTGAGAGTGACATTGCTGTGAGTGTGATTTCAGGGTGAGCATGAGCCTGCGTGTGAGCGTGAATCAGGGTCTCAGTGAGTGTGAGTGTGAATCAGGGTGCGAGTGAGTGTGAGTGTGAATCAGGATCTCAGTAAGTGTGAGTGTGAATCAGGGTGTGAATGAGTGTGAGTGTGAATCCGGGTCTCAGTGAGTTTGAGCATGCGTGTGAGTGTGAATCAGGCTCTGAGTGAGTGTGAGTGTGAATCAGGCTCTCAGTGAGTGTGAGCCTGTGTGTGAGTGTGAATCAGGCTCTCAGTGAGTGTGAGTGTGTGTGTGAGTGTGAATCAGGGTGTGAGTGAGTGTGAGTGTGAATCTGGGTCTCAATGAGTGTGAGCCTGTGTGTGAGTGTGAATCAGGGTGTGATTGAGTGTGAGTGTGAATCAGGGTGTCAGTGAGTGTGAGTGTGAATCAGGGTGTGAGTGAGTGTGAGCATGAATCAGGCTCTCAGTGAGTATGAGTGTGAATCAGGGTCTGAGTGAGTGTGAGTGTGTGTGAGAATCAGGGTGTGAGTGAGTGTGAGTGTGTG